TTCATGTTCTTGTCAGCTCAAAATTGGAAAAATTGTGTTCAGAAAAAACAAAATACATTGTCAAGCAAAAAAAAATTCACTAACATTAAATTCATCTTCAACAGCCTACTTAGTTACATGTAAGAAAAAATTGTTATGGTTTTGTGTTTTGAGTGACATTCAGTGGTCCTCAGGACTTACTCCTGACTCTATGCTCAGTATCACTCCTGGCGAGCTCAGGAGACTGTCTGGGGTGCTGGGGATCAAATTCCAGTCAGCCACGTGTGAGGCAAGCACCCTACCCACTGTACTATCTCTCTAGCCCCACTCTGCAGAAAATTTTAATCTTGTTAGTAGTTTTTAGGAATTGAGTTTTTCCCAAAAATGGGCACTGGTGGAGGGATGGGTATTTGATCATTGTATAATTGAAACCCAAGCACAAAATTTGTAAGTCTACAACTGTACCTCATGGTGTCTCACTAATAAAAATAAAAAAAATAAAATTTAGTTCTAAGATAAATCTTTTTTAGAAAGTTCATAATTAAAGGTCTTATTGCAATTTAATTGACAAATTTACTGTCTTGTGGAAAGCAGATTTATGAATAATAAGGTGACACTGTTACTGTCATTGTCCTCCCATTGTTCATCAATTTGCTCAAGCGGGCACCAGTAACATCTCACAACAAATTGTGAGACTTGTTGTTACTGTTTTTGGCATATTGAATACATCATGGGTAGCTTGCCAGGCTTTGCTGTGTGGGTGAGATACTCTCAGTAGCTTCCCACGCTCTCGGAGAGGGGTGGAGGAATCAAACCCAGGTTGGCCTCATGCAAGGCAGACGCCCTACCTTCTGTGCTATCACTCCAGCCCGAATAATAAGGTGAATTGACCAAAATACTAAGGACCTTTTCTATTATTTGGTCACTTGTTATGGTACCGGGGATTGACTCCAGGGCTTTGCTCATGCACAGCAATGCTCTGCCACTGAGCCCTCTTCATATAATTTCAGAACATCTTTATTGACATTTATATACATTACGGTTTACCATTTCTTCTGTGGCAGCTTTTCATGATATTTTAGTGTACCACATAGACCTAATTCCATGTGTATTTATCTTCCCCCCAGGAGAGCAGCTATTTTTATGGAGATCCCAGGAGTTCTCTTAAGACTTTGCATATATATTTTTAAAGTTAAAGACATTATTTTTTTTCTTGGAATTCTGATTTCCAGGAAATGTTGTCATAGACATTAATAATCTCTCAAATATGCAGATCACTATATAACAGTAACATTTCAAAATGAACATTAAAACTTTCATGGTTGCCAACAGAACCTTTCAGATTAACTTTGAATTAGCTAACCTTTCAATTAGGTTCTTTCAGATCTGTAACAGGTTTACAGTTTAAAGTCAAGAACCTAATGGTAAAGCTGACATTCGTGAAATTGCTTTGATAATAAGTCTTATGTTTAAGCAGTTTACTGTCTGTTATTAAGAGCTTACCACAGCCTTATGAATGCTTTTATCCGTTGCTTTAGCAGAGGAAAGATCAAAATGCAGTCTGGAAGTATTTTACAAATACTAAACTTTGACTTTAAAATCCTTTTTTTACTAGAGCAATTTACTAGATTCGGTTCAGTTTGACCACCCATAGTTGGGGCTTTCCTTAGATTTTTTTCTTAAAAAAAAAACTGTACATTTTTCTTGGAATCTTCATTCAGTCTGATAACTTTTCTTCTCTATTCCACAAATATCCAGTTTCACCTTGAGACAAAGTACTTCTTTTCCATAACAAAATGTATATATCCCTTTTATTTGTTCTTACTGAAAACACCTGCTTTCTTCCCATTTCTATTAGCTATAATCTTACAGAATTTTTAGAATGCATAATCCTTCAGATCTTTTAATTTTTAACGTCAATGGTATAATTATATAGTATTATGTCGGCATTTTTTAATTTTAATACTTGCAAATAAATTGTCAGAATTTTTCATGTGCTGCTTTATAATAATATTTGTAGACGACATATTTTATAGATCCAAGTTTTAGTTTTAAAGGTAAACCTAGGTTTCTTTACTAATATTTTAAAATTTAAAATTGATCTAGAGACTCAGTTTCTATTATATTAACTTGACCAAACTTGATTTTCTTGGAGGATATTTGAAAAAAAGCCTAAGACAAAAACATGTTGAGTGAAATTTCTTGTGATAAACTTACACCAAGACTGGAGATTGTAGTATGTTTCTCCCAAGGGTGGAGTGTGTTAAACCAATTAACCCAGAACCTCATCAGAAAGATTATCTTACATGAAATAGTCCATTATTTATTTTATTACTTAATTTGTTAACATTTCAGTTAGCAAAAGATCCCCGAGAGACTAATTATCGTTAGGTATTTCTATCATTTGTTTTAAATATTTTACCTTTCAAACAAGTTCTCCATATACTGGGTGACATGGGGTTTAGGACATGATTCTACCTTTATTCTGTTGCCTCTGGGCTAGCTATAAAAAGTTTGTGAGACTAATTCCATTATTTTCCTTGTTTAGATAGCATAAGTTAATAATAATATAATAATGATTAATAAACACAGGTTAAAATAAAATAAAAAATATTATACCTAGTACTCTAACTCTATAAAGATGTGCATGTTTTAAATTGAAACTTTACCCTTCTTTGTATATATCGTGTTTTGGGGTGATTTTTTTTAGTCCTGGCTCTGCCCTTGGGGATCACTCCTGGTGTGACTTGGGGGACCACAAGGGCTGCTGGGGATTGAATCTAGGCAAGCTCCTTATCCCTACCCCTCTGACCCCAGAAGTAATCATAGATCCCCCCAAATCTGTTTAACCACTTTTTCCCTTAACAGTTAATTCTCTGTGCCTCTCCAGAAAGCTCCTTGGTGCTCTCTTTGAAGCCAGTGCTTATAGCACACTATTCTCCCAGTCAAGCAGCTGCAAGACAGCAATTTTTCTCAAAGATGGCAGTCCCCAAGGCCATAGTGACCCAGAATCCCTGACGAGCCCCCAGATTCTGTTACCGGAAAAAACCAGGTTTACTGCTCATTGTACAGAAAGTCAGATACTGTGAGCAAGCTGTTTAGGAAGTCTCTCCAGTAGAGTGACAGAGTGTGGCTCCCATGCGAGGGACGTAAAAGGGGTGTGCATTGTGAATATGCGAAGGCTGTGTGGCAGGCTGAAGGAGCATGTGTTCCTCCTCAGGCATCTTTCATGCCATCATAATCATGAATTTTTGTTTTATTCCATTAGGGAGAGAGCAGATTTCTGATGTTAACAGCTGTAGGCTTTGGAAATAGTCTTTGAAAGAGCAGTGCCAGACCACCTGGCACCATTTGAGTACAGTGTCAAGGGGGGCGTATTAGTAAAAGTTCAACCAGTTGAGAAGGAAAAAATGCCACTTTCTCTAGGTATCAAGAAGCAATAACAAAATGGTATTGGTTTTCAGCACTCCTTTAACAAAACAAGAAATGTTTGTAACATAGGGCTTTCATTCAGTTTAGAAATGTTTTAAGTTGGTTCAAAAACTGAGTTGGTGTGCCCCTGGCACATTGGGTTTATCATGTCCAACTATGGTCCTGGGATATCCAGGCTAAAAGCTGGGGAGAGCCAGAGACCAGGACTGGCTTTCTCATGGGGCTAGTTTTCAATTAATCCTCCAACCCTAAAGGTCTTTGCCTACCAAAGAGTGTTTCCTGTGCACAAAGATAGTTTCATAGGTTGAGGATGAGTATGTTTTCTGTACTCACACGAGTGCACATCTCCTTGCCACAACTCAGATGTTTATATTTCTTTTGGGGAACCATTTATTTCTTGCTGTTACAATCACATTTTAATCTTGACGAAACTTAATTCAAGAGGAAAGAGTTGAAACCCCTCAAGAACAGAAGTAAATTGTTTTTGTCCTTTTGTTGGTATTCCAATGTATTCTATATTTTTTAAAAATTGCTAATTAAAGTTAATAAATTTCTATGTTAAACATAATTACTCTTGAGATTTTTCTCTCCCAGCCATACTAATAGCTGTCACTAGATTCTGGGTTTTCATATCTTAAATATGATTTCTGGGAGCTAAAGAATAGAAAGTCCATTTTTTTAAGGGTATTAGGTTTTTTTAATAAGGTGGTTGTGATTCATGTTAGATGGGGAAAATGCCTTTTTAGAATTGATATTCAGGTTGCAGTTATACCTTCACAAGATTTCTCAGTGCCTTTTCCTTGCTTTGAGAAGGAAAGCCCAAGAACAAACCTTATCTTTAGATTTTTCTGCTTCTTATTACTTCAGACCCACATGCTGGGAGGGTATTACTGTTTCAGTGGAGCAGTGCCCTCTAGCAGTGATTGAAGGAACTGTGTGCCCCAAAGAGAAAGATATTGATTAGAGACACTGAAAAAGGATTCTCTTTAATGTCTCATTATTGCATACTTTATAAATTTTTACAAGAGAGGAGGCATTTGTCCTCTGATTAGTCTAACCTTTCATGAACCAAGGACATTTGATAAATTACTTGGAGGTGAACAGAGGAGGCAGACAATTTTATGATTCTTAGAGAAATATGGTTTTGGTTGCTTATAATACACTTACATTTGGGTACAGGGCAGGTGTACCCAAATAGAGAAAATGAGTGCAGACGATTCTTGTCTTGGTCTTAGTGCATAAAACCAGATGTCTTTGGGGGCTGTGTTAGTGTAATGACTAATGAACTCTGGTTTGTGTGGACTCATCATATTCTGAAGCACATTCCTTCTCGTCTGATTGCATGAATTTTCTGTTCGCCTGATGAAAGGAGATTTGGGGCCAGGAGTGGTGGGTGACCTTTCATTTGGAAGACCAAGGAATTTCTTCTTTACATGAAAGTGTTTTTGTACTGTTCTTGGTGGTAGTATTACTATTTCTTCCTGAGACATTTTCCTCTGAAATCGGGTCTCACGTTTAAGGGAGTCATATTTCTTTAGAGAACTTTGAATTCAGTTTAATTGTTATGTGGTGTTGCTTTTGTTTTCTAGCATCCTCCAGGACAGATAGCAAGAAAATACAGCTCCTGCTCCACTATTTTCCTAGATGATAGCACAGTCAGTCAACCAAACCTCAAGTATACAATTAAATGGTGGGTATACTGATTTTTTTGTTCCACGGCTTTTTCTGTTTCTTAACTTGATTGGTTACTTGTTGTTCAAGATATCTGCACAGGTAAGAGGGGGAAGTGGGAGGCTACTGACTCTTCTAGAAATCATTTTAAATAGTGAATTTGGTAGTTTAAAAGTTCAAGGTATTTGGACATACTATTATTTACATAAAAGCTGAAGAATAGAAAGTTCATTGTTTGTAAGGGTTTTTGAATTGTCTTAATAAAGTGGTTGTGATTAATGCCAGATGGCAAAATGACTTTTTAGAATTGACATTTTAAAATTACTTCAAATGTAGACTAAACCTTTTAAAATTTTTGTCTGTACACTTTTTTGATAAAGCTATCCTGTTATATGTCTACTAATATTTCCCTTTCTAAACAAAATGAGGGTCCATGTCCCCAACTCACAGAGCAAGGCTATGGGAGAAAGATGGTTTGACTTGGTGAAAATGTACTTTTGCTCAGGCTTGAGAGATCTGAATTCTGACTATGGCTTCCTAACCAGTGAGGAAGGTTGAGGCAAGACCCTGCTCTTGTAGCCTATTTTCAAATAAGGTTTAAGGGAGGGAAAGTGGAGTTTTGGGTCCAAACTCTGGGAACTTTGCTTCCTTCATTGAAAATGAGAGTAAAAGAACAATGATTTTTTTTGGGGGGGGGGGGTAGGGGTAGATTGGGACATCAGTGACCCTTGAGAAAAAGTCTTGATCAGAGATCTTGATGTTCCATGGCCTGTGGTCATCAGTTCAACAGTGAAGATCCAGGACATTTCTCACTTTACTTACTTAAGTATGATGTAGCTTTTTACATTTAGCAGCAATTCATATTAACATGAAATGATTGTTTTAATTCCTGAGTAAGCATTCTCTGTTCCACTGGGCCAGATTCCACCCCTGATCATAGAGCTGTGGCCCCAAAACTGTGCTCTCCTTTTGTGGTGGTTTCTTGTAAAGGCAGAGAGGGGAAGCTTTGCACTCTAGTACTAGTACATAGTACTTACAGTACATAGTACTACAAGAAAAGATTATGTAAAGATTATGCTTAAATTTTATTTGGCCATAACAGCTTCATGATGCAGGTTGGATTCTTAGTTTATATGTGAGGAAATAGGTTCTGATCAGTGAAGGAACGCTGATGAAAGGGTCTGGGTTGAAACGCTGACCACCTCATTCACAGGTTCCTCTCATTTCCAGACCAGTAATAACTTTCCTGCCTCACCATCCCTCACAGTAGAAAAAGAATCATTTTCTTTCTCAGTCAAAAAATTAAGCTAAACGCAACACCAAACCTGCTCCTGTGAAACATTTCATTTAAATCTGACATTCGATTAGAAAGGCAGTCATCACAGCATGACTGTTAAATGAATAAAACAGCAATTTTCTCTTTTTTCCCAGAGGCAGAACAGAAGGGCACAAAACCATTATGCAGGTCAGAAATCCCAGCATTTAGTGTCCAAACCTGAGTCTTCTCATTTATAAAGTAGAATCAGTAACACCCATTTTCCACTGCAGGACTGCTGATATGTAATATAAAGCACTTTGAGAAATTGTATATGTATCTTCTTAAATTCTAAAGCCTGTTGACCTCAGTCACAAGTTCTTCATCAGCTTAGGTGCTTTTCAGGAGTTTAGGGGAAATAGAATATGTTAATATTATTACTCCATTTTTCCATGAGTACTTTTAACACTGAGCTGAGGTTATTTTGGAAGAATGGGATGAGAAAGAGAGATTTGAAAGAATCTATGCTAAAGGCCATGGTAAAGGCCAGCTGTTTTCCTGTTCGATCACAGGCAAACATCTGAGCTACTTAGAGTCTGGGTACATGCCCAAATCTCTCAAGTGGGGGCAGCTGAACAAATGAAACTGTGTAGCACTGAGTCCCGTCTTCCCTCCCATTACACTAGAGGGCAGATTCTGGATCTGAGGTCCAAAACACAATTGAATGACAACCAGATAGATATGTTTTTTGATACTTAAAAAACAATGTTTGACCCCCCTCAGTAAATTTGCAAGGAAATGGAAAACTAGTGGGAGAATAAAGTAAGTAAAGTAAAGGCCCTCCCGTTGATCATCGATTTGCTCGAGCGGGCCCAGTAACGTCTCCATTGGAGACTTTGTTGTTACTGTGTCTGGCATATCGAATACTCTCGGTAGCTTGCCGGGCTCTCCCAGAGGGGCGGAGGAATCGAACTCGGGTCGGCCATGTTGGCCGCTTGTAAGGCGGACGCCCTACCCGCTGTGCTATGGGAGAATAGTTACTAAAAAAATATATTTTTTTTGAAAATTACCAGTCTGTTCACCAGAAGAAACCATCATCAGTATGAAAATGACAGCTTACCAAAAATGAGACACATTTCTTTGTTTTGTTTTGTTTTGGGCCCATACCTGACTCTGCTTAGATTACTCCTGGTGGTGCACAGGTTACCATGTGGAGTTCTGGGGTTCAAACCCAAATTGGCTGTGTGCACGGCAAGCTCCCTACCTGCTGTACTTTTGCTCTGACTTCAAGAAGCATTTTTTATTCATTCAGTAAGGGAACAAGAAAAAGTGATTCAACTGAAAAATTCTATTCTGAGATCTACTTAATAGGCATTTCTTTAAAATGGCATATAAATAAGTGATTGGCAGGACATATAAACGGCTGCCAGAACAACATGAAAAGGTGTTTGTTGTTGATCGTTATTAAGGAAATGCAAATCAAAACCACATTGAGATCTCACAACACATCTATTAGAATGACTATATCAAAAAGACCAAAAAAAGAAATACAGGATCTGGAAAATGGGAACCCTCATACTCCTTTAGTGGGGATGTACATTAATGCAACTACTATAAAAATAATATAATGATTAAAAATATATAAGTACCATATAATCCAGGGATTCCGCTTCTGAATATTTACTTCATGAGTATGAAAATACTTATTTCGGAAAGACTTAGCGCACCTATATGTCCATTGCAGCATTATTTACAATAACCAAGATAAAAATACAATTTAAATGTCCAATAGTGGTTAGATAGACAAAGGTGTGGTATGTATACACAATGGAATACTGCTATATTTTAAATACAGAAAGATGAAATTTTGTATTAATGACAACGTGGATTGACCTTGAGGGTATTGTTGATGAGATAGAGAATGGCGGTCAACGGCTGCCCTCAAAGGAAGCAAAGAAAAGAGCAAGTAAACCAAAGCTAGTTTTCTGTAGAGAACAGACTACTTCCAGGTGGTCATCTTCAGGTAATTATCAGAAGGAAGAGACTTGGGGGATGAGAGATAGACCTGTTGTATGGTGATGGCCTGCTACTAAAGGTTTGGTGGTGATAATTTTGACATCTGTACAGATGATGAATTATAATACATACATGAAGTTTGGGCCGGAGCAATAGCACAGTGGGTAAGATGTTTGCCTTGCATGTGGCCGACATGGCCGACCCAGGTTCAATTCCTCCGTCCCTCTCAGAGAGCCCAGCAAGCTACTGAGAGTATCTTGCCCGCATGGCAAAGCCTAGCAAGCTCCCCATGTTGTATGCAATATGCCAAAAACAGTAACAACACGTCTCACAATTTGTTGCAAGATGGACAGTGCTGCAGTGCTACATGACGTTTACATGTTAGATAAAACAGTGTTGCCTTGAAAACAGTTTTATATTTTAAAAAATTTGCCAGCCAGCATGAAAAACTCTACCAAAAGAACTCAACATTTTTTTAAAAATGAGTACATTTTTCAAAATGGGTGTCAGTGAGGATAGGGTGAAAAAGACTTGAAAGGGGAATTACACAGTATAGTTTTTCTGAAAAATTATCTGGCGTTTCATCTGGGGAGACTTACAGTTACTCATGCTTTCAGATGGAGTAATTTCAGTTGTAGGAAGTTTTCTACTGGAAATAATATAGTCATGAATTGTACAAAAATTTATTTGTGCCATTTAAAATGGCTTTGAAAAATAATCAATGGTAAGGAAAAAATTGTTAACAAAATTTGGATGCAAATTTTTTATATAGTACAACTTATAGATAGAAATAGATGCCTATATATTTCAAGTTAAAAGTGATCAACTTTGGCCAAACGGATTTTTTTAACTTAAAATATGTATAATATTAATATAACACACTTTTTAAATAAGCTTTTTTTAAGTTTGGGGAAGAGAAAATGTCTATTTAAAATGTAAAAATAAAACTTACAGGTAGTTATTATATATAAAAGTTACAGCACTCTTGGCAAGTGAAGGAGTAGATTCAGTGTATTGATAGGAGGTCATTGACTTAAAAGGACAAATGCGAACCACATTGGGTGAGTCACTGATCATTTTTCTTGTTATAGAGAAACCACTAATTTTCTAAAACAGTGGGTCTCAAGTTAGAAATTTTAAAGGTATTTAATTTGTACCACGTTTTATGAAGTTGCCTGTATTTTACAAACCAGGAAATCTTAAAATTACAGATAAAAAAGAGATGTTGTTTCTAAATAATTACTTGAAATTTTGGTGTTTCTGGAAAAGATTTAGTAATTGCCACAAAAATGAGCTAGATTAACTTTGAAGCATGCATTTCTTTATCAACATTCTGAATAAAATGGGACTCTAAAGAAAGATGATCATGTAACTTTTATGCAAATATTTATAATCAACTAATGTTGACTAATATATAATGTACAAAACATTAAACTTGTTTGCATTTTATTTTACAGTGTAGCTCTTGCAATATATTATCACATCAAAAACAGGTATGTGAATGATCAATATTGTAGTGAAAGTTACATTAATTTCTGTAATGTTTTTCTTATATATTCCCTGTTCTATTTCATTTGCCTCAGTACTTTGTTTTTCTGTAGGGCAGGGCAGGGAGCCAACTAGGTCCTGGTAAGTCTCCTTGTGGGCAGGAAGTGCCCCTTTTCCTGCCCCTTGCCCTTTCCATACTTTGTCCTCGTTAGGCCACCTAATGCTATGGAGGCATGTGGTCACCTCAGCCTCTTTTGAACCCAGGATATATCCCACCTTCCACTGGCGGCATTCAGTGTCCTTACCCTCAGGGAGAACCCCAGCTCCGTGGGGCATATGTATATGGGGTTGGGTTGCTCTCTCTTTCCTGCTCCAGCAGCCTCCAACTTCACCCTCTTCTGCTCGGCCCACTTCCTTTGCAAGTTGGAATCTTAGCCTGGGCCAGAAGCCGGTGGTGGAAGACCCTCAGGAGAACCTCACTCATCTGTCCTCTGGGCCTCCTACCCTGAGAGGTGGACAGTCAGGGAGGCTGGTTTAGACAACCGCACTTTCTGCCCATTGACATTACTTTGCCTCAGCCTTTTAATGATGTAGGCATAACTCATTTTTTCATAGGATTTCTATTTACCAAAACTTCAGGTAAGTGCTAAAATGCTTTGGAGTCAGCAGAAGCCAGAATGGGTTCTGTGTATGAAGCTAACAAAAGAAACCTGCGTGATATGGTTCTGCCTCTTCATTCTCTTTCTCTTTAATTTGTTGACACTTCCTTTGATTTTTACACAGGAGCTCTCTCTGGTTGCACTGAGGGTAGGCAGGCCAATTGGGTGCTGTGGTACAACTCAGCCTCTGCAAGCTTGGAGGGCTCCTATCACTCACATTATCTCCCTGGTCCCTAAACATTATTGATGAAATAGTATTCTTAAAATTTACTGTGTGCGGCTTTATTCTCTTTGGTTTAGAGGTCACACCTGGCAGTGCTCAGGGTCTCATTTTGGCTCAGTGGTTGGGGGGTCGTTCCTGGTGGTGCTTGGGGACAGCCTGTGCTCGAACCCAGACCTCCTACACGCAGAGCATATACTCAGCCCATTTGAACTGTCTACCTTGTACTACTGTGGGCTGCCTTAACATGAGAAGTGTTTTAGAGTTTTAACTCCATTTACAAAATTTGGTGTATGCTTTGAGATTAAATACTTTAATTTAGGGGCTAGAGCAATAGCACAGCGGGTAGGGAGTTTGCCTTGCATGTGGCAGACCCGGGTTCGATTCCCAGCATCCCATATGGTCCCCCGAGCACCGCCAGGAGTGATTCCTGAGTGCAAAGCCAGGAGTAACCCCTGAGCATCGCCGGGTGTGACCCAAAATGCAAAAAAAAAAAATACTTTAATAGAACTTCTCTCTGATTACAGTCTGGAGATAGAGTTCAGTTAACTTGAAAAAAAGTTAAAATCATTTATGAAACTTAACCTTAAACATTTTATTTCATCATAAAACATCCAGACATACATTCATTTGCCTAAATTTTGTGTCAGGGGTTTTGTTTCAAGTGTAGAGAATTGACTGAAATACCAAAGTAGCTTAGAACCCATACCTGTATGTAGTCAGTCCTTATTGTTCTGTGTTTTTTTTTTTTTTGGTTTGTTTTGTTTTCAGTTTGAGGGGCCTCCCAAGTGGTGCTCAAGGAAGACCCAGGAATCCTGCAGGTGATTCTTGACCAGCCTTGCCAGTAGATCGATCCCCAGGTCATCTGGCATTCTTGAGTCTGGGTCAGATTCCTGCTTCCTGATACTGTACTATGTGTTGGCCTTGTGTTTTAGTTAGTAGCAAGAAAACTCAAGACATTTGCAGAACAATCTGAGTGTAGAACCTTTCATGTTTAGACCATACCTTATCTAGACAAATTTAGTGATTCTCTTTGGATTTTTAAAACTCTTCCTTCTTTCTTTCATAAGAGCAAAGCCTCTCTTTGAAGTTGTATTTCATCAGTTATTGTGTCATAATTTTGTTATATGAGCAGAGTAGCAATTGCAGCTGGCAAGAACCAGTTCTGGGATTGAGCTCAGCTGCCTCCTGGTTGGCACAGATCACCATGCTAGGGCTGGAGACCTGCCACCTTCATTGTGATTTACAGAAGGCCAAGGGAGGGGCTAGGGAATTAAGACAATGGGCCAAGCGCTTGCCTTGCACACCCAGGTTTGATCCCCGGCATCCATATGTTGCCTGAGCACTGTCAGGAGTGATTCCTGAGTGCACGGCCAGTAGTTAGTCCTGAGACCACTGGGTGTAACCCCAAAATTTAATTTTTTTTTAAAAGCAAACAAAGGGACAAGGAAAGTTGGAATAAGTCCGTGTTCCCAGGGGGTGGGTTAGGGTGTGTGTGTGTGTGTGTGTGTGTGTGTGTGTGTGTGTGTGTGTTTGTTTGTGTGGGTGTGTGTGACAGTTTTCCAGAGAATAATGTTAGGGGAAAACACAAATATCTGTAAGCAGGCTCCTGGAAAGGTATTCTCCTGAATGATCCTCTTCTGTACAGTTTTTGTGAAATGGGGTTCTTTAGGAGGATGGGCAATTTTGGAATTAAAAAACTTACAAAGTGTACAAGATGAAACCTATAGACCTTGAACAGGAATAGCAAATCAGCGAAAGGGCAGCTTTTATCTTGCTACCTATTTTTGTATTGAACTTTTAAACATTTAAGTCTTAAATGGCAGTGTAATATGAAGGACCAAAGAGAGAGAGAACATTTGTGCCTTGCAAGGTCAAGGTTCCAAGCTAAGTTTCAGGCACCACATGCCTTGGTGGATTCCCCGCATCAACGGACCCAGGCACTGAACTATGTGCCAGGCCTAGCACCGCTGGGCTGAGTATCACTGGGAGTGGGTCCTGGACCCAAGAAAACAAACCAACAAAAATGTAGTATTAGTGAAATGCAGATATAGTATCGTACCAATATTGCTTGAGTATCTCTGACTACTCAGTTTGTTGACTGTTATGGGTCCCAAAGTTAACTTATAGCAAATGAAGAAAATAAGAGCCAGCTTTATTAAGTGCTTACTCCAACCAATCTGGTAATTCCTACGTGTATTATCTCTCTCTCTCTCTCTCTCTCTCTCTCTCTCTCTCTTTTTTCAATCACAGCCCAATGAGATGATGCTGATTTTATGTTCATTTTACAAATAAACTGGGAGAAGAAACAATTTACCTAAGAGTAGATCATTGAGGAATTGGGAATTGAGCCCAGACATTATATTTGTGAAGACTTTTTTTTTATTATTATTTTAATGTAGGAGTACTGCTATTTATTCAGCCACTGATTAAGCTGATTGAATTGGGCATGAACTCCACATTACTTTCTTTTTCAATTCTTTTAATTGAATATTCATGAGATCATTACAAAGCTGTTCATAATTGGGTTTCAGTCATACAATGATCCAGCACCCATCCTTCTTCCAATGTACATTTCCTACCACCAATATCCTGTTTCCCTAGAACTATCCCCCACCACCCCACCCCCAACTCCCACCCTCCCTCTATGGGAGGTACTTTCCTGCTTGCTCTCTCTCTCCCCCTTAACTTTAGTGCATTATGGTTTGTGGCTGAAATCTGCAGGCTTTCTCAGGGTTGGGATGAGCTGCTTCCCTCCACATCTCTGTACTTCTGAAAGCCTCAGCAGTCACATCCACTCCTCAAAGCTGCCACCCAATTGAAAAGCTACTCCAGCCTTATTTATGGAGACTAATCAGATGCCCCTCTTGGTTAGTGGTAATAAATTGGGCCAGGAGTGCGTGCGTAGAAGTGGAGAAAGTGAGCATTTATAAACAAGGGTAATTAATCTTTAGAAGGTCTCTTGGGAAGAGATGGCATATTGTCTGCTGACTTTTCCCTGCAAACCCGACCGACCAAATGATTGGAGCTGATTATAGACATGTTTAACAGTCCAGTTCTACTGGAGGTGAGGAGAAAATCCAGTTCTCATAGGAGTCCATTTTCCCCCAGTTGTTCAGTTCATTCTTAATCCTCACTTGTTTTAGAACCTGTGCATTCATTGCTTATTTATTTATTTATTTATTTATTTTTGCTTTTTGGGGTTACAACCGGTGATGCACAGGGGGTTTCTCCTGGCTCATGCACTCAGGAATTACCCCTGGAGGTGCTCAGGCAACCATATGGGATGCTGGGAATCGAACCCAGGTTGGCCATGTGCAAGGCAAATATCCTACCGGCTGTGCTATTTTTCCAGCCCTGCATTCTTTTTTTTTTTTTAATTTTTAATAGTGAGACATCATGAGGTACAGTTGCAGACTTACACATTTTTGTGCTTGGGTTTCAATTGTACAATGATCAAATACCCATGTTTTCCTAGAGTGTTGAATGACTTTTACAGGGACTCATAGTCTAGAAAATTAAATTGAGCTGAATTGTCTGAGAAAATGGGTTCTCAGCTTTGCCTCATACCACCACACCTTGGATACTCCCAAGAGACATTAGTGAGATGTAGGATCAACTGATTGTTCATAGCCAGGCTCATTAGAAAAGCATGTGTAACCATGTGCACCTGTTAGACGCTGTCCTCTGCATTTAGAACATTCTCTCAAGTCCTGCCTAGTTGAAATTTATTTTTATTATTTTTTAAGACTTGGAATTCTCCCACATTTGCTGCCTATGTTATATGCCGGGGGACATGACCTTTAGAAACAATTCCTGGCATCAGAGAGCTAGTACAGAGGGTAGCGTGTTGGCCTTACACGTGGACAATCTGAATCAGTCCCCAGCACCACATTTGGTTTCCCAAATCCTGCCAAGAGTGTTCCCCTGAGCACAGAGTCAGGAGTAAAGCCCTGAGCACTCCAGCTATGCTGCCTTCTGGCCCCACCCCGCCATACTCCCCAAATAAAAACAATTCCTATTGTGTGATGGTGTATTGAAAAATGAGCTGTTCTTTTAAGCTCTTTCTCTTTTAGCTCAGCAGATGGTAAAATTTCAGAGCAGAGATTACAGTGTCTGTACATCTCGGGTGTGTATGTTCAACAGATCCAGAGTCTTCTGATAGTCAGTCCTGAACAAGCCCAAGTAACCGTGGAAATTATATGCTGCCTCCAAAAGCGTTGGTTTCTAAATTCGATTTTAAAGAAAAAATTTAGGCAAAACTCCAAGGACATAAAACAGGTGACGGTGGAGCTGTCACTGGTATGGGGCATTTGGCCCCGGCAGAGCCAGTTTCCCAGGAGAACCACTATGTTCTGGGTTCTGTGCTTTCATCAGGCTGCTGGCGACCAGCCGTTTCTTTCATAGGCTTATAGATTATCGAGTTAAGCTTTTCTGCCTGACACTTTTCCAAGATGAAATTATGAAACTTGGTGACGTTATTGAATTGTATGCTATGAAAACTTGAATCACTCGGGCACACTGAACAGTCATTCTTAACCTAGCTCCGACTCCTTTCCTGAACACTGCCATGAGTTACCTTTATTGGGGGTTGGCCCATGCCCAACTGTGCTCACGGACTGTTCCTGACTTTGTGTGCAGGCATGACGCCTGGTGGTGCCCATGGGAGAGGTGTGGTAACCCATGGTGGTGCAGAATATTTGAACTGGGGTTCAAATGCCTCCATGAACTGTGCTCTTTCTCTGGCCATGTAGTGATGGGTTTTTGTCGTTGTTGTTGTTGTTGTTTATTTTTGTGCTTTTTGGGTCACACCTGGCTATGCTCAGGGGTGACTCCTAGCTCAGCACTCGGGAATCACTCCTGGTGGTGCTTAGGGGACCCTATGGGATACTAGGAATTGAACCCAGGTCAGCCACGTGCCAGGCAAACACCCTCCCTGTTATACTATCACCCTGCTCCCCTGTAGTTATGTTTTTTTAAGCTCATCGAACAGTCTTTGCTCAGAAACAATATGTTAAGGAAATGTTTCTTTTCCTTAATTTGGTTCCTATGAAACTATAAGAAAATAAAAACCTAGATATTTATTTAAACTAAAGGAGTTCTACAGTCTTTATTTCAAATCTGATTAAATAGGTCCAGGGAGAGAGCCCAAGAGGCAGAGCACATACCTGTCTCTCGTGACTGAGAATGTGGCTGCACGAGGACTACTGAACAGTTAGGCCTTCTCCATGGGACAGATCATTGCCAGGAGTGACCCCAGGCCCCCTGAGAACTGCTCAGTGTAGCTCCTATAAAAAATAGAACATTAAGTATTATACTCAAGAAAAACAAATCATTACTTACAGATACCAGTAGCAGTTTCCACATTTAGCTCTGTCTTGTGTTTCTTGAAATGCAGTTGAGTCATTGTAATTTTTTGCTTTGAATGGCACTCCTTCTAGCAGAAAATGATCTCTCTCTTTTTTTTTTCCATTTTTCCTACAGGGACCCAGATGGAAGGATGCTCTTAGATATTTTTGATGAAAACCTTCACCCTCTTTCGGTAATCTCCGCCTTGTGTTTCATAATATTGGTAAACTCCTTTGCACTCTTTTTGGCAGCCAGCAGTCTGAAAATATTTCCTTCCACAGAAATCCGAAGTGCCACCAGATTATGACAAACATAATCCAGAGCAGAAGCAGATTTACCGGTTTGTTCGGACACTGTTCAGTGCTGCTCAGCTGACGGCTGAATGTGCCATTGTCACCCTGGTGAGTGCCCACGATGGCCATCCTAGAATGCGGTGAAATTGGGGTGGGGGATGCCCCTTCCATGTCAGAGGCAAGACTTCTCCTTCTGGTTTGCCTTTTGTTCTGGGAGAATGTAGATCTCTCCAAAGAGGGTGCCAACTCTGTTTTCACAGTTTCCCACCTAAAGCACCAAGATCACATTCAAAATCAAGAAACACTGAAGCTATAAATGTAGCTACATAAAACATCAGTCTGGGGGTGTAGGGGAGAGGTGAAGACAGACCCAAGGCTATTCTTTATTGACATTTCCCAGACTTCCTAACTTTCTATTATTGATTTCCTGCCCATTTTATTATTTATAAGTATAGTGTGTCTGTGTGTGTGTTTGTGAATATGTAGGAAGGTGTACTATGTAACATTAACTTTATCTTTTGTGTAATGATGTATCTGTAAGATATTCAGGGAAAATCATGGAAGTAATCTTTAATTCAAGTCTCAAATACAAGGTGATTTGTGTTTTTAATGAATTTTTTTGTATGAATTTTCATACATTTTTTAATGAAAATAGAGTTGACAATGGAACCTTTTTGTTACTGACCTTTTCTATTGTGTGAAGTTCAGATAAGAAGTTAACTTTGCCTGTAAACACGCTATCCTGGAAAGAGATCAGAAATCCATTCTCTGGAGTTTCTGAAAAGATGATTATCTAGTGAAGTGCTTTACAGACCACTTAGTCTTTGTAGTCCAGCCACATTAAGAACTTTGTGTTCTTACACAAGTAGAACTCATTTGTGAATTCATTCATTTGCTTACTCAAATAAATAAAATCATTGAACTTGACTCCTGATAAATAAAATAAATAAAATATTTTACAGTATTGGTAAAATATTTTACAAATAATTATTTAGTGATTTGGATTGATACTAGATTCTCTTGTCATACTTGGGTGCGGGGGGAGTGCATTTATTACTTGAAATTATTCCCCCCAAAGAATTTCAAGTCTTAATAAAAACATGTGATAGAGCGGAGTTGAAACTTTCATGTAGGAAAATACAATGAAGGGGTGGTAGAAAGGATAGGAGACTGGGTAAGATCAGTACTAAAATTCATGCCATCCTCCCCACCCCCAAATACAATTTAAAACTGATGTGGTGCGTGGGGATATTTTAATTCATGGAAAAATCATCATGTGACCTTGATAGCTCTTCCTGTTGAGCGTCATTAGCATGGAGAGGCTTACTGTCTGGGGAGGATGTGGATTGACATTTCTTTCTTTATTTAGATTTTTAAATTTTATTTTCATAAAATTATTCACAATAATTATTTACATTCAGCATTTCAACACCTATCCCACCACCACTACACCTTTCCACCAATACCAAAGCCTGCCCCATAGGCAGATGCTAACTAATTTGTACTGATGAATAGTATGAGTGCAAAAGTGGCCACACACTCCTGGAATTCTAAATTTTTAAAAAATATTTTGGGTCTGGAGGCATCTCTGCGGTGTGCTGCTCTCTTCCAAGATTCATTTGTGTATCTCTGGATCATGACCTTTATTGTGCTAAATGGTGCCCAGAGGCAGATGTTGGGCATGACTGCCAGGAAACTGGAAGGGTGGGGAAATGGGGGAGATCATCCATCCCTGAGTTCGTGAATCCTGGAGTTTTCCGTCACTAGTTCCACATACCTTTGTATGAAAAGCAGATTCATTCTCGGGGTGGGGGTGGAGTAGGGAGGGGAGGGGGGACTTGGGATGAGCCTGTGAAGGTCAGCTGTGAGCGTGGCAGCGATTGTATTCTGGAAGTTTTCAGCTACCAGGGTTCATCTGGGGCAGGTGGAAGGACACATCTGCCCTCCTACTCGGTGCCCCAGTGAAATCAGCCTGGTGCAGAGTGGGGAGACATCTTTGATATGCTGCTCTCTCTGAGAGTCATTTGTGAGTCTCTGAATTGTGGCCATTAATGCACGTAAGTGGTCTGGTTTAGATCTCTTTTGAGATTTATTTATGGGTCTCTGAAGCAAGACTGATAAATGAGTTTGTGTAGCTGAGCCGAAGATGGTTTGTGGGTGTGACATCCACATACCTAACTTTTGGCCATTTAATTTCTCAGGAAACTTGGTTCTCAATTGGTTGTGGTTTGGCCAGAGGCATAGTGGCAATTGTGGGGTATCAGGAATTCTAAAGGCACTACCAGGCTGCTTATGCACTAGCCCTGTGGGTACAGTTGACCTGCTAGGTGGCACTGTACCTCACTGGACTGGCATTTAAATCCCTGCAGCACCCCCAATTTTTCAGAGACCTTGAGAAAGCAGCTGAAATGTGGTTCCTGGCCTTTAAGCTGGCAGTAGAATTGGTTGGTTCAGTGCTCTGGAATATTTTAGGAGTGGTACTTAGGTCAGTAGCTGTAACTACAGGAAGTTTCTCATGTTTCTAGCCAAAGGATGGGAGCTGAGCAGATGAGTTTGCTTTGGAGTTTTCTTGGCCATACCTTAAGAGATGAGTGGCTTCTGAGTCTCATGGAGTGGGTCCTGCATTGCAGACTAAGTCGCGAACTGCAGCCTGTTTGCATTGGCAGAGTCGGCTCGGGTGCTGGTGGCCAGAAGGCAGACAGACAGACAGACAGACAGACAGACAGACAGACAGACAGAAGTGTGCTCTGAGCAAGCCCCTGCCCAGCAATTGACCCAGCTAACAGAGATGTGTTCATCTCTGCTCTCCTCTTGGGCATTTTCTTGGTGCCTTGGCCTTGCCCCCCCCCCCCCCCCCCGGGGTAGGATGCGCACTGTCTGCAGGGACCCGGCAGCACACCAGGGCCTGCGAACATCAGGAGCCTGATGGGTTCAAAAGAGATACATCACAGCTTCATTATCTTCATTTTGAAAGAGTAATGATAACTTAATATCACGAAATAAATGAGGAGCTCCAGTTTATGCTGCAGCTTTCATTGACACTGACACACGAGGAGATTTGTTTTTAAGAATTAATATAAAGTATTGCACCTGGGAGCGGTGTGCTTGACTGAGGACAGGTTTTCACGTAAGGAAGCCTTGTAGCCTCGCAGTGGTAAGGAGATGCGCCGTGCTGAGGTGGTGAAGCCACAGAGTCCGCTTCTTCTCGGCCCCGCCTGTCGCTTCTCTGAGGTGTCTTCAAGCTGGGTCAGATGCAGACCCAGGGGCGAACCTCCATCCATCTTAGTACTCTGTGGTGCTTGGATGGCAAAAGTAAAATTTAGCCCCTGTCAAAGCCAGGGGTCTCTGGGAAAGGAGGAGAAATCAGACCAAAGGACCAGTGCCAGAGGTGTATCAGAAGGCCCAAAAGTCCCTCATTTCCCTTGTCGCCTTGCTCTGGGGTGCTGCTAGCAGCACGGCCCTTCTCTTCTCCTGCCCCTGCTGCTCCCTGCGTCTGCAGCCCTCCTCTCCCAGCCGGGACTCCCCAAGACTTTCTCATCTGAAGCTCAGTCTCTGTGTTTAATACAGGTTTCAGGATGGGAACCCATTTTGATGAGCTCTGTCAGATAGTTTGGTTGTCTGGGTCAGTTCCAACTCTAGTGTTAGAAGTAGGCTCAGGGCCTCCGCCTGGGGTCATTCCTTTTCTCTGCTCCACCCCGCCCCCACCTCCACCCCCCCATCGTTCCTCATCTTCCTGGGAGGAAAGCATAGAGCTCACCCTGATGGAATCCTGGGCCCAGCTCCTTTCCTCAGCTCACTGTCCAGCCCGCTTCCTCTGCTCTGCACACATCCCACATGGCTTCCTCCGCACTGACCAGAGCACACGCGACTGGGGCCTGTGCTTCGGGTCATTTTAAATGACAACCTCTCTCCTCCTCCAGTAGTATTCTCACCTTTCCCTACTTTGATCTTCGTCTGCAGTTAGCGTTATTTTTGCCTACAGCTCCAACTCCCTGCTTGGTATTTTGTTGCTGGCCTGTGCTACAAGTGGCTTACACTTGGATGAGGCTTAACGGGCACACATGGCAGTGCCAGCTTGCTGAGCTTTTAAAACACTGGGCCAGCGAGATAGCTCAGTAGGCTGAGCTCATGCTTTCTTGCACGAGACTCTGGCTCCACAGGTCCCCTGAGCACCACTTGGAGCAGCCCCCAAGCAGCATTGGTGGTGGCCCCCAAACTAACACAGAACACCATAGCAGCAGCAAATATCAGAGAGCTTTGAAATTCTTTTTGTCCTTATATTCTGTGTGTTCAGCACCTGGGTCACAGTCTGGAACATAGTACATGTTCAGTAGCTGCATACTCACTGGACTCAGTGACAGTGGAGCTAGGATTCTTTGTGCCTGAAGCCCCAGGAGCACTCAGTAGCTGTTGGCTCTTGTCCATCCCTGCACAAGTAGCATAGGGACCTTAAACTCATAGGCTGCTGCTCCACGGCTGCAGTTACTCAGGAAGTTTCCAAGAGGAAAATGGCAAAGTCTTATTTGAAAGCAAGCCTTTGGTCATGCAAGGTTGGTTTTGTCTAGAGGGCTGTGGGCCAGCGTAGAAGGGAGCTGGAGAGGAAGTTAGTGATTAGTGGAGAGAAGTCAGGAGTCATGCAGAAAGAAATGAGGAACTAAGACAAAGTAGGAGCTATGAAAGCTAGAAGTAAGCAGACAGGAGAAGATAGATGGCCAGTTTATTAATGCCTCATTTTTATGGCTTTAATGACACAACTACCATAAATGTGATGGGTTTGTATCTCATAGAATACATGATTGATATTTTTGTATATATGTGTAGACACCTGATAGCATGCAACACTTGAGTGGTTTTCAGTACATTTTGTGACCATCATCATGTCCTCATTTTGGAATATTTCATCACCCCAGAAAGAAACCATCGCCCTTCAGCCACTCTCCATTCCCATCCGCAACTCCAGACATACGTCCCCAACTAGTCTTTTTTTTTCTGACTCATTGGACTTGCCCATACTGGACATTTCATAAAAATTGATTTTGGTAAAAATTATATTTTGTGACTGGCTTCTTTTCACTTGCCAGAATATTTTCAGAGTTCATCCACATTGCAATTGTCCTTTTATTGCCAAAAGTAAATTTCATTTTATTCCACTGTATGTAGAAATCACATTTACATTCACTCATTCATTTGTCGGTGGATACTTGATTTTGTTCTGTTTTCTAGCTCTTGTGAATAATGCTGCTTTGCACATTTGTTTTAAACAGAATTTTTGTTTATTTTCTGCTTTTTTTTTCTTTTGGGGGGACACGGATTAATCCTACAGCTCCCACATTCGAAGTATACACTCTAGTCCTTTGACACACCTACTGGATATCTGCTTACAAGTTTTTTTGAGTAGATATGTACCTTCATTTATCTTAGAATACCCAAAGAAGTGGAATTGGTGTGCCACTACAAGTGATATTACAGCAGTGGTGGAGGAGGTCCAGTAATTTGTACACCCGAGTCATAAATGCTAACAGTATTTGTAAGCATGTCACCTAAAATGGAGTGGTTTTTAAAAATTTAAAGAATATTGGCCTTCAGATTTCTTCTGATATCTTTAATTTCATATTAACCTCTTGGAATGCATTAGAAAGTGTTCGTTCCATTTGCAACTCATTCCAAGAGTATCCACTGACTTTGATTTGATACACAAATGATTTGATACTCATTTTTTTTTTTGTGAAGATGTGGGCCAAATATATTTATTAGTTGGAAGTTTTTACATTACCAGTTCAGTGTCTTTGCTACTTATAGATTCATTCAAATTACCCATTTCTTCTTGGGTCAGTTTCAGTAATTTTTGCCTATGTAAGAATTTATTGATTGTATTGAAGTTATCTAATTTGCTGGTATTCCTACCTTGTGACGTACCTGTTAGTGACAGGCATCATTTGGTATTTCTGAGGGTTGTCTTCAAACTAAACTGATCTCCTGTTTTAAAAATCCTGTATTTGGTTGCTTTTTCTGATTTCTGGTTGCTTTTTCTGATTTCAGCTGGTTGTTTTCAACAATTGAAAAAAAGGTTTAAGTCACTCCTTTAGGGAGACAATTTTTTAAAAAAAAGAAAAATAGCATGTGCTAGTGAAGGCTATGAAAAAATTACAACATGTATGTATTGCTATTGGAAATATAAGTAATATAGCTGCTATAGAATATGGTATTGTGGTTTCTCACAAAGTTAAGCAGTTACCATTGACCAGCAATTATTTTTTTGAGTCCATAGGACAAGAGAATCAAAAGCAGGATCTCAAATGGAAAATTGTATATAGTGTTCATAGTTTATACAAAAAGAGGAAACAACTCACATATTCATTGGCGAATGAATAGCTTAAATATAATCTAGTCCAGTTATACAGTAGAATATTATTAAGCCTTAATAAAGTAGATTCTGACTCATTACACAACATGGATGAACCTTGAGAACATTAAGTGAAATATACCAGTACTTGAAGACAAACATTGTATAGTTTGACTTGTGCAAAATACCTGGAATCTTCAGCTTTATAAAAATAAAGTAGAAAGATGCTTGCCAGTGGGATTAGATATTCTCTAGTAGTTGCAAAGTTTTAGTTAAGGATGATGAAAAGCTTGAGAAATAGAGATGGATAGTGATGATTCAGTAACGTTAATGTACTTAATGCCACAGAATTGTCCACTTAAGAATGGCAAAATTGGGGCTGGAGAGATGAAACAGGTGTTAGAGCACATGGTTTGCATGCAGCCAGCCCTTGTTTTAGCCTTGGCACCATGTGTTATGGCATCCCAAGCATCATGGAGTGTAGCCCTAGAGGCCCCCAAGTACTGCCAAGATGATACACCCTGGCACCGTATCAACCAAGTGTCTGCAATTGGCTAGTTGGCTAAGGATTGTCAGGAGGGGCCCTGGTCCCCAGAATACCAAGGGAGAATTTAGGAACTTTTCCCCCAAAACAACATCCATCAGTATTGCAAGTAAATCTCAAAAAAAAAAAAATGCTTCCAGTTAAAGTTTGGGGACTTAACTCAGTGATCAAACACATGTTTTACATGTCTGAAACTCTCTGTTTAAAATTCTGGTACCAATAAAGGTTTAATTATAAAAGAAAATACCACAAGTAGGAAAAAATATGCTTATTCCCCTTACATGTTTCATTCTCTGTGTTGGAACATTCTACTAAATTTGTATTACTGTGATGGTTGTAGTTGAGTGAGTAGGAAATCAACCTGAACCGTGTTCCTGCCTATTAGTGTTTGAAGACCCAGCTCCACCCATTTCAGTGATGGAATGTGCCCTTCTGTCCGGTTCCTAAATGACTCACTTAGCCCTTTGACTTTATTCTTTCATAAAATTGTAATTGATTTACTGTAGTTGTCAATATGTTTTGAGAGTAGCTTTCCACTTGTAGTAAACCATACCACACCCACCGTATCTTATGTGACATGGCAGTATCAAGTTGACTCCTTTTACCTTTTCCCATGGTTGGAGACTGACTTTGTTGTTTGTCTAGATCATTTATGTCCCAATAAACATGAAGCAGGTATTCTACCTTGTGATTTTTCAAAAATTTTTATTATAGTTTAGATGATATGCATACAGTTGTGTTTATGGTCTTGATTAGAGTTACTGCACCCTCCTCCCCCAATCCAGAGTGACCGAGATCTTCCACCTCTTCCCTTCTGTTTCCTCTAGTTCAACCTTCATTCTCTCCCATCCTCTCCTGTTTATTGATAAGGCGATGTTGTTATTTTAGTCTAAGGCCATGGATTTCTCTCTTAATTTTTCCTTGTTCTTGGTGGGAGATACACCTCAGAGTACTCAGGCTTACTCCTGGCTCTGCACTCAGGGATCACTCATGCGGGCCTCAGGGATCAAACCGAGCTTGACTAGATGCAAGGAAAACCCCTTACTTGCTGTCTCTCCAACTGGGTTTGTCTTGTTTGATACCATCTAATTCCTTGTTTTGTCTCTTTGTATTCCATAGATGTATAAGGTCATCCAGTATTTGTTCCTTCCTTCTAGAAGATTTAATTCATTTAACATGATACTGTTCAGTTCTGTCCACATCGCAGCAAACTGCATGATTTCATTTTTTCTTATAGCTGCATTAGATTCCATTCTGTTAATATACCACAACCATTTATCCATTCATCGGTTGCTGACATTTGGATTGTTTATATATCCTGACTGTTATACTAAGCATATAGCAGTGATAGTAAATATACATATTATCTTTTTATTTAAATGAATATTTTTGTGTTTTGAGGGTGGGTACCAAGAAGTAGGAAATCACTGGGTCTTACAGGAGTACTGTTTTTCTTCATTTATTTTGAGAAATCTCCATACTGTTTTCCACAGAAGTTAAACCAGAGACACTTACACCAACAGTGAACAAGGGTTCCTCTTTCACCATAACCCACCAACACTGATTGCTTTCCACCAGTCATTTAGCTCTGTTTTCTTGTCTCCTTAGGTTTACCTTGAAAGACTCCTAACGTATGCAGAGATCGATATCTGTCCGGCCAACTGGAAGCGGATTGTTCTAGGGGCAATCTTGCTGGCCTCCAAAGTGTGGGATGACCAGGCTGTGTGGAATGTGGATTACTGCCAGATACTAAAAGACATCACGGTGGAAGACATGTGAGTGTGAAGGCATCATACCCTTGGGTCTTGGGGGTGCTGCTGGGGAAGGAGTCTACGTCTCAGGACAATCCATGTACTTCATATGAATTCACTGGAATATGTACTGTGTCACTAGGACAGTCTAGTGGTGTAGACTATTCTGTGCAAAAACTCCTACTTCTCTTTGTTTTGGACCATGTACACATAGGTAGCGGTAGCACTTCATGATTTGCAGTTGGTCCTTTGGAAAGCCATAAACCACTGCTCTTACACATCTTTGATGAATTGTGTTGTGGCTCTGTTTCTGTCACTGCTGACTGAGCATGTAAAAAGAAGTTTATGTTGTGAACTGAATTTATGTGGGCAGCCTCATAACCCAAAAGCAAAAAGGTTAAAATACCATAGATCCGTTTGGTTTCAGAGTGTTCTCTGTCATACTTTCCAAGTTCAGTTGTTTAGAATGAGCATTTGGAGCAGGGAGAAGGCTTAGCATGAGGAGGCCCTGCCATGTTGGTCTCGGTGACCTCTGGCACTGCAGGCCCAGGCATGGACCCTCTAGCCTTGACGCCCTTGGGAATCCAGCTTGGGAATCGCTGGATTCTCAGCTCCCCGGCTCCCTGAGCACTGCCTGGGATCCACCTCTTTCTGCAAGAAGTCAGACTTTACGTGTTTCTGGGCCCACACCTGTCTTCTCAGCCTGCCCCCTGCCCTCCCCCAGATGGCCATGGACCCCCCATAGCTCAGGGACTGCCAGGAACCCTGGGGGAGAAGGGCTCTCCCCCACCATTCCTCTACCAGGAGCATCGCTCCTGGGCTTCTGCAGGCCTGTTCCTGCTCTCTGGGGTCTGGGAACATAGGACATAGGCTCAGAGCCTCTCGTGAGAAACCACAGACTCTGGATGAGCTGAACTGCCTCCCCCTCCTCATGACTATTCACTGCTTCTGACAATGTCATTGCCAATATTTTTCTCATGCTGTGGTTTTGGCTCCCTTGAAGAAACTTTAGGCTAGAATCGGTCCCCAGCAGAGTCGTGGTCCTCACCCCTGTACCCAGGAATTCTGGGTGCATAGGATAGTTACATTACCCATGTGGGACTGTCACATCGACATCTTGAACGCAGATTGCTCACCAACCTAAGGCTCTCCAGCCTCTGACCATTGTGTGCTGGGTACCCCATTTTGGAGGGACCCTTAGAAGCATCCTCATTTCTGTGTTCTTAGGTATACTGCCGTAAACCTAAAAAAAATTTTCCTATGGTTGCAGTCCTGTACTCTTAAAAGTAAAAATATAAAGAAGTCTTTGATTGTAATAAAAGTGATATTCTTGATTATATTTAAAGGTAAAAACAACTACTGAAATAATTTCCATCTAGACCAGAAAGGAGCCAGGTGTTTGGTCCTGGCGATAGAAATGTTGACTTGTTCCTTTTCTGTGTTAATCTTTTACCAGCTCTGTGGTATTCTTGGGGAATCGAGGGACTGTGTAGGGGATTTCCAACTTCCTAAGGTCATGGACACTGAATTGCATGCCAGGGGGACACCCTCACATTTGTCCTTTCTTGTTTCTGTGAAGTAGGTGACGTGCTACAATGCCTCAGATGTGGGCGGTGCTGTGGGAGCTGAAAGTGGCTCTCATGAGAAGCAGCTGGTCCCAGATGGGGGCCCCCCAGGGGTGCTGAGCGCTTCGGGGGCAGCGGTGCTAGCATTGGTGTAACTGGGGCACACTTCCTGTTTTCTTAAAGTTGATTGGAGTTGGGGTGGAACTGAGTGATTTTTTTTTTCTTTTTTCTGGAAAGGGAGTTGGATACCAAATAAATTTGGGGACCTCTGATTTAAAGTCAGATGAAAAAAAAATCCCTGTTAAAGTCACATGTTAGTTTCAGATATTTTTATCATTTATAATCCCAGATATTTTTTTAAAAAATGATGCAGATGCAAATTTAAAGATACCACAGAAGCATTAAAACCAAAGAGATCAGTAGGAAAAGTGAGATAAAGGGCTTTAATGGCAAGGAGATACCTTTTGTGTAGTTGTTCTTGACCCAGGATAGGTTTGAATTGCTAACTGCTGGAAAAAATGAATTACCCTGTAGACAAAGAATTGGAAGAATCATTTAATTTAAAAATTTGAAGAAGGGGGCTGGAGCAATAGCACAGTGGGTAGGGTGTTTGCCTTGCACGCAGGCAACATGGCTGACACAGGTTCGATTCCCAGCAGCCCATATGGTCCCCCGAGCACCGCCAGGAGCAATTCCTGAGTGCATGAGCCAGGAGTAAACCCCTGAGCATAGCTGGGTGTGACCCAAAAAAGCAAAAACAAAAAATTGAAGAAATTTTTATAAGTTATTTGTCAGGAATTACGCATTGTCCAGGTCATGCATATTTTAATTTGATCTTCTCACTCACTGTTTCATATTATTTCTATTTTATAGATTTGGATACTGAGACCTGCAGAGTTTAAATCAGAGATTCCCAAACCTATTTGACCTACCTCCACTTTCCAGAAAAAGTCATTCAGCACCTACCCCTGAAAATCTACTTTCTTTTCTTCTTTAAGTGAACAAATAAAGTACCCCCTACACCATCCTAAATGCACCTGAGGCTGCTACTGCAACCCCCCTACCTCCATGTTATGGCACCCCTAGAGGCAGTATTGCCCATTTGGGAAAGACTGGGTTCAGTAGAGCTTCAACAACTTGACTAGGTGAGAACTCATAACTTTTTAGCCCTACTGACCCTTACACTGTGTTCAGAGAAGACATCAGGGGATGTGTGTACCTGTTCCTAGGCTGTGCTTGCAAGTGTTCTGGCTAAATGCCTGATACCATTCTTCTTAAACTTACCATTCTTTCTTTAAGTGAGTAAAAATGAGGGATTTGTAATTTGTATAGATTTTGTTTATTGAGGACATAAGTTAACAAGTTAGGAACAAACAAACAATTGTTAGGAATATTTACAGCAGCACTAATGCTAGTTGTGACTGCTAATGATTATGGTAGCTGCCCTTTATGAAATACTTCCTAACTTGAAAGTAGTTTTTTGCCTGAGTTGGTTTCTTGAGTCACCAGTGAGTTGGTTCTGATCGCTCCCATTTCACAGATAAGTGTGATGCCCTCAGAGGACCATTACATTTGCCAGGGTACTTAACTGCTAGTAACAAATCCAGATTTTGTGGGGGTTTTCTTTTTCCTTGTGACCTAAGCTGAAATTGTTTAATTTATCTAATGTTTAATATAAAAAATGACAATTTTTGTTTTGGTTTGATTTTTGGACCACATTTGACAGTTCTTAGGGCTTACTCATAGCTTGGTGGTCAGGGTACTCAGGGGTTGAACCTGGTTAGCTGCATGCAAGGCAAGCGCATAGACTCTGAACTCTGTCTTGAGCCTTGACAACTGTTTTTTTTTTTTTTATGTAGGAGTACTGCTATTTATTCAGCCACTGATTAGCTGATTGAATTGGACATGAACTCCACCTTACTTTTCTTTTCCATTTTTTATAATTTTATTTATTGAATCACCGTGAGAGCAGTTACAAAGCTTTCGGGTCTATGTCTCGGTCATACAATGAAACACCTGTACCTTCACCAGTGCCCATTCTCCACCACCAAAAACCCAGTATACCCCCATCCTACACCCTCCCCCTACCTGTGGGGCAGATGATTTCCACATTACTCTCTCTCTACTTTGATCACATTCAATATTTCGACACCAGACCCACCATTATTATTTGAGATTTTACCCTAACACTCAGATCTGCTGAAAAGGCAACAGTAGACAATTTGTGTTCTAATCCTGGTGATGAATAACATATGATGTTGCGTGGCCACAGTAGGGCCATGTGATTTTGAAATTCCAAAATTTTAACACTTAAATCTGGAGGGATTTCTGCCAAAAGCAACTGGATCTCGAGATTTGTTTCTGAGTCTCTGGGATCATGGCCGTTAAGCAGCTTGATCAGGAGCCAGAGAGGCCGTTCATGGGTGATGACTTCGGGTCTCGTTGGGGTGGGGAAGACAGGCCCAGCTCCACCCCCAACCCGTGAGGCCCAACAAGTTTCGTCATTGCAGACCGAGACCTGACTGTCCAATGGCCTCTGGAGGATGACGGTCACTGAGCCGCCAAGTGGGAGCAGGCGGAGGGACAACACCCTTTCCCCCCTGGGGTGGTCCGGCGACAGTAACCTACTGCGGGGTCCGGACACATTTCTGCCAAAAGCCACTGGGTTTCAAGATTTGTTTCTGAGTCTCTGGGATCTTGGCCGTTAAGCAGCTTGATCAGGAGCCAGAGAGGCCGTTCATGGGCGATGACTTGGGGTCTCGTTGGGGTGAGGAGGACAGGACCGGCTCCACCCCCATCCCGTGAGGCCCTGTGTGTCTCGTCACTGGGGACCCAAACCTGACTGTCCAGTGGCCTCTGAAGGATGGCGGCCACTGGGCCTCCTGGGGGGAACAGGCCATGGCACAAAACCTATTCCCACCTGGGTTGGCTCAGCACCAACTGCAGGGACCAGATGCATTTCTGCCAAAAGCCACTGGGTTTTGAGATTTGTTTCTGAGTCTCTGGGATCATGGCCATTAAGCAGTTCAATCAGGAACCAGAGAGGCCATGCCTCCAATTATATAGCTGAGCCGGAGGTGGTTTGTGAGTGTGTTTCCCACATACCTAACTTTTGGCTGTTTACTTTCTTGGTAAACTTTGCCCCAAATTTTTGGGGTCTGGCCAAAGGCACAGCAGCAATCTGGAAGTCTGAAGACACCATCAGGCTGCTGATGCACTCTCCTTACAGGTACAGATTGACCTGCTGGCGGCACCATACCCCTGACAACTGTTTTTTGAAAGATTAGTTTTATGCAGAGAAATTAGAAAATGTGGTCAGGGTTAAACTTGAGGTTCAACTAAAATTTAAGTAAATAGTTATTCTTGAATAATGTTTTCATTATTTTTTTTCTTTCAGTTGACAGTTTTCAATTATAGTAGTTAGGTTTTTTTTTCCTCACATACATAGGTTCAGTATAT